AAGTTTCAGGCAAGACTTGAAAACTCTCTTTCAGCACGGATGTTACAGCCTTGCCTGTTCCCACCCCTTCTGCTGGATTCTGCAGTCAGAGAGGTTCTGAGTTAAGGCTACGTTAGTGAAGATTTTACACTGAAATGTGGAGGATGGTTAAGATGCTGTGTGGTTTCCAAGGTAGATGAGAAATTCAGAACTACCCTGTGCAACTGCTGACAGTGTTTTGTTTTAAAACCAGCTGTTTATATTGTGACACTGTCCACATTAAAATATGCCTCTGGCCTTGAACATGGCATGCTTATGCAAAACTTCTTTACAGATACAATGCTACAAATATACTACGTGTAAGATACAGGTCACTATATACTTTTCACAGAAGCATATGGTCACTTAAATACAAGCAACTGGTAATTCATTAATGGATATTGACGATACATTCCTAGTATTTTGACTCATGTAGAGTCAGGTGGTCTATACCTTCAAGGTATATACAGCTGATCTTAGTAACATTAACATCTGCCTCACTTCTTATGAGGCAAAAAGCACATAAATGCTTCCATCTTCAACTAGATACCACACAAGACCAAAAAATAGATGTAAACTAAGTGTGTTAAGCTAGCTGTTTCTTGGCTTTATTCCGTGTCGGTAGCACAATATTAAATGCAGTGGCAGAACTGTAATATTGTGGGATTTCTAAGCGTAAAGCACACATACTTATCACTTCAAGCTAAAAATAATAGTATTGGTTACTGTACAAGTAAGTTTTTGCATTCATAGGAAGCTTTGTTTACTGTCTGTAATGTGATGTTTATCTTTGGCCCTGTTCCTCTGAGACCTTTTACCCTGTCGACTGTTTTAGCGTCATAGAAATTAAAGGATTTGACACGTCGTTTTCCTTGTCTGGCTCCAAAGTAGCACCTCGAGTACCGCCGAGGCAGGGCTGCGCGCTGCAGTCGGGTCTGTGCGGCCCAGAGCTCGTGCAGCCGTGTGCTAACGGGACGAAGACGTGAGCGGGCGCTGCAGAGCGAGGCGTCCTCCGGTGTGGCAGCAGGGGTGACGGCTGCAGCGCTCTCCTGCTCGCCCGTATCGCTCTGCAGCAGCTGAGGCTACGTCAGGTGCTCACATGTGCCCACCGCTGTGTAGTAAAGGCAAGACGGCCCTTTTCTTAAAGAATTTACAGCCTGAATTAGAAAGGAGTAAGGTAGAAACAAAGAGCAATCGGCTTCTTCATGCATGCGACTTTCCTTGAATTTTCTGAGAATGTTCTAGGTTCTTTTCCTTTCTCTTTCTTTTCCTCCTCTTCCGGAAGCGGGATGGGCTCAGGCAGTGTACATACAGCAGCTGAACCTTACGCTTCGTGGACTAGCATCTACAATTTTGAAATACCAAATACAGGAAGACGGCTAAATCCTGTTGTTTTACATATACTCTGGTTTTTGAAATAGCAAATTTTTTAATCTAGGTAAAGTCATTTCAGCAGAGACAGTACACTAAGGCCACATTAATAACCTCTTTAAAAAGAAATGTGCTTAGTTTTGTTTAAAAAAGTGTCGATGTGAGCTGCGAACCTTTAAATGCTTTAAGAAAATAAGATACCTACCCCCTAGTGTTAGCATTTTTGTTGTTATTTTAGTGCTGACTTGAGACAATATTGCATACACTGACTTCCCTCCCCATCCCGTATATTTTAGGAGCTGAAATCTTGAGCTCCTGAATATTGAATTTGCTATTGGTAAAGTGGCAAGTTATTTTAGTCGCATCAACAGCATTTGAACTTTACAAAAATGCTGCTTTTGAATTCATCCCATTTGGGGAGAGCAATCGAAGCCGTCACCCATCACCCAGGTGGTGGTAACCTCTGCCACCTTGTCCTACCTCGCCCAGCGCCCTTACCTGAGGCGAGCGGTCCGCGATGCTGTCCTAAGAAGCCGTGATGCTCCCTGTCTGTTCAAGGTGCGAGATCAGCCCGTGGTTTGTCCGTCTGCCACTCCCAGTTCTAGGTGCTGAACTGGGTCACTGCTGATTGAGACTGCAGGCTCTCGGCCTTTCCCG